AAGTCTGTCAATCTGTTCACTGATACGGTTAAATCGATTTTTAGCTTGTGTTGTCCAATGAAAACCCTGTTTGTCTGTAACGGTAGAATTACCTCGCCCTTTTTGAAATCACTGACAAGGTACAAAGAACTGGCCTACAAATCTCGTCTTGCATCACTTGTAAATCACTATTCTGATTTAATCAAGTCCGAGATAACGTACCTAAACGCAATCTTCGCCGCCTAAATTCTGCGAACAAAGAACACCAGGCTCTTATGGCAAGGTATTCGCCTTCTCTGTGGGCAGAACAGAAAACATTCTAATACTTCTGTGGATGTCAACAGCCTTAACGCCGCTTTCAACCACTCGTCAAAGAAGAACCAGATTTCCTCATTTCCATGCAATGAATCCAGTTCAGTGCCTTTTTCCAATGATTTAATTTTTAATCTTCTTCGATCCTGCAAGGCATACTCAGTTGCAGGCCCTGATGGTCTTCCTCCGGCACTTCTGAAATTTGGAGCTGCTTCCCTAACCAATATGATGACATCCATCGTCAATGAGTCCCTATCTTCCCGGTCGATTCCTCATTCTTGGCGTCCAGTGACCATTATTCCGATCCCCAAATCCACGTCCTCAACTGTTCTTACGAAACATCCAAAAGTATGCTGATGACGTTGTTTTGTGTCAGACAGTTTCATCTTCGGAATTTCATCTTTTTTTACTGAAAACCTATCCCACATCCAACAGTTTTCTGACCAATCTGGTCTCAGTCTTAACATATCTGAGTGCGTAGAGTGCATTTTCAGTCTTTCCCCCTGCCCATTAACAACGGACTCTGCTACTCTTAACAGTAAACCTGTATCCAGAATGACCTCAGTCAAGTACCTGGATGTCACCATCGACAGTAACCTTCGTTGGTCTACACATATCTACAACTGTATGGGAAAACTCAGACGCCTATCTTTTCAGTTACGCAAACTCAGGCAATTCCGAACCTCACAGTCAGTTTATCAATGCGTTTTGCCCATTCTACTTTACTGCTCTGCTGTAGTGTTTTCCGGTCTTTGAAAACAATACTTCAAAACAATTCGCCGTGGTTTGGTGGTAATCAGTCGTGCATCATTAATCCCAATCGATTTATTAATCACGGAACTCATTGATGGTCACATCAACTCTTGTTTTAAATTTGCTCAAAAGATTCTAGATGACCCTCTTCATCCACTACACCCTGATCTATCGTCTTGTCGTTCCCATCCGTCCACACGCTCCTCATTTTGACAGCTACCCTCTGGGAATAACATTTATGAAAATTCCCCTGTACCCTACTTGGCCCGAAGAATGGTGAAATTGCGGCTTTTATGGAAGGAATAGTAGTTATTGTTCTTCAGTTATCAGGTTCCAACACAACCGAATAGAGTCGCTAAGCACTGTCGATGGTAGATCCATTATTGCATGACTATCATGTTTTCAGGACCCACGCCCATAGGCTTCGCCGACGTTAATGGTTTTAGTACCTCTTTTCGTCGAATAGATTCAGAGTCATCATGGGTTGCGGAAAAGCACGGTAACGTAGTAGATGTGGCCAAGTCAATGAACGCGCTATTAAGTGCGTCATTATCGGTTTATTTGAATTAGTTTTTGACATTCCAATCTCTCCACTCCTTCACCGAAATGGATGGCCAAAGCGATGCAACCAAAATCGCCTCACGAAAGCGCTACGGGTGACGTTGGTCTTTTTGTTCGCTGTACAACAATCGAATTTTTGTCAGTGTTTGTTTCATGTCTTGGCTGTCATGTAACTTCTCCCCAAGTGATTAATCAAGAGACCTAGTTTTAATCTTGATTATGCGCGAAAAGCCGCTAACACCAGCGGTCTTCCTAACACGTTCCCTTTTACTCCATAGTGTTGCCTTTATTCCGTTTGGGGTAAAAATACTTTCAATTGGGCGGAAAACCTCAAAAATGTTGTTTATCGTATCAATTAAGTGACCAATGAAGCAGAACAATGAAGATGTTAGGTAAAAACCTCTTAGAGACAATGTCGAAGGAATGTTCAAGGTAATTTCACTACTGATAGATTATGAAGACAAACCTTAGTCTGGCTGTGTTGATAAAAGAAATGTATACAGATCGAGGTAAACTTCGGCCATATATGAGTAACACAATGATCACTGTGAACATTAGAGCTGTTAGTTTAAGAAAGAAAAAAGTCAGGCTGATTTATGATTGTATTTGTACAGACTTTTGCGTGAACAGATGTCCACATTTCAATTAAAATTACACATCTCATCAAAAGTAAGAAATAATATGAGTAAAACACCTAACCTCCAAGGTTGTTGAGAAATTCAGAAAAAACGCGCTGTCGGTTTACAAGGATTCTAGCGAGATAAATAACTAGGGAATTTCTGTAGAGGTTAATTTGAGAGGTTAATGATCGATATGTAGATCGCGTAGATGAATGAGAGCAACATTTGGATTGATCGCTATGTAAAGGATGATTGGAGTCAGAGAGGATTTTCTGTGCAAATGTTTCATATGCGGATAAGTAAAGTCCATACAGTTTTTTTAGGTAAATCATCCACGGGTAAAAAGACACGCAACTCATGATCGACAAACCTCGACGAAGAATTTTAAAGTCTTTTTCTGGGTAGACCAGCAAAAACCTCCGGGGAACAATAAAGAAGAACGGAAAAACATTGATAAACAAAAAGCGAAATGATATTTTGTTTGGCATTGAACTACCTAAGTCTTCGCAATCGAAAGGATAATCCACGAAGTTTCTGTACGGAGTTGTAAATGTGGAATGCCCAGTGTAAGTTTGTGTCAATTGTAATACCTAGATAGTTCACGAGGAAAGAATTACCTCATGTCGGAGCGGACAGGTCATGTAGATCCGAAATAGCTAAAGGATTGATGAATTGTAGTCTGTCATTAGTACGTGTTGGGTATTTAGGTCTCGCTCAGTTTGTGGAACTTTATGCGTCTGTCGTTTTTGAAAGTAACCCAAACTATATATAAACCGGTGCATCAGTATCTCCGAAACACCCGAAATAGTCACCATCCACGGGGCCCAAGTCGAATTCTTAGTATTACTAGTCCTGGATTCAGACTGACGGACCATTTATGGTGTTGATGTAGGACTTTTACTTGCTGATTGCAATCATATAACTCAGTTTTCCACTGGACTGTTTTATACTATCATTAATTTGGAGTCTCGAGATATCTGTATTTCCATAGTAGTGTTAAAACGAACGTTTTTCTTGTGCTTGTGCCGCATACTTTTTGACATTCTTTTTGGTTTCTTGCTTTCACCAGACATGAATGTACAGCATTGGCGCTACTAATTCCTGTTCTCACTTAGATTTCTCATTGAATCAAGCCAGTCAGCGCAATCATGAAAATGGACATCACCAATTAGGAGCAATGCGAGCGCTAATTTCACACCTATACATTAAGTCAAAGCCCGACTGTTGTGTTGCTTCCTCCACTCTTACCCAGCACGTGGAAGTAGAGCATTAGGAGTCAGAGGATAGCCAGGTACACTCAAAACCCCGAAAGAAATGATATTTTGCCTCTCTTGGTTGTATATCTTCATTCGATTCCCCTCCCAGATGTTTAAATGAGATACGTACACTGACGGACGGCTCCATTGACGTCTGGTCTAATAAAATTCTACCGGGTTTTCCGTTCCTAATACCCCCTGTCCCCTGCTGCTGGTTCCTATTGGAGAATTGTGGACTTCTTTCTTTCTGCTATTTAAGAAACGTCTTCCAGAAAACTAATGTCTGCTATTACTTTCTACACTTAATTCCCCCCTTCTGTATTCAGATGGCAGGATTCCTTCAGTCTCTAGCCCACCGATTCGGCGTGAACATTCTGTGCTATGATTACTCGGGTTATGGAGCCAGCTCCGGTCAACGTCTGGAAGAAAATCTCTACGCAGATGCCGAGGCAGTGTTGGGTGAACTTCAGCAACGATTCAAAGTGCCGTTAGATCGAATTGTTTTATATGGACAGAGCATTGGAACCGCTCCTACCGTGGAATTAGCCACAAAGTACAAGGTTGGTTTTGATACTATTGTGTGACCAAAAACTGTTTTTATTCCACCACTCATCTCTATGGTGGCTCGCAT